AACACATTGATGTGAAGTATCACTTCATTCGGGATATCATTGCTGAGGGAAAAGTCCTTATTCAGAAAATCAATACTAAGGACAATCCAGCCGATATGTTTACAAAACATCTTCCACTTTACAAGTTCAAGCAGTGCTTGGACTTGATTGGTGTTCGTTATTGGTGATTTAAGCCCATTGGGGCTTATGTGAAGAAGGTGGAGTAGTTTTTTGGGTGGAATCCAAAATTATGCCAAGGTGGAGATTTGTTGACTTTTCAACGCCCACCACGGTTGAATTGGTGGCAAAATTTTGCATCCCACATCGACAAAGGCTTGAGGAAAGCCTTCTCTGGTTTCCTATAAATAAGGAAGCTTATTGAAGGAATTAACTTGCACCACTTAAGAGAGTTATATGGGCTATTAGCTTCTTGAGTCATTTAGCCCATTTAGTCAAATATTTTAGGCTCTCTTATTTTGAGTTTAGGAATATTTTCTAAACTCTTTTGTAAGTGCCTATTGGCCTAGGAACCACTTTCCTACGGTCTTTTGTATTTCTTCTTCATAGTAGAAATATTGCTCCTCCCTCGCCCGTGGACGTAGGTCAATTTGACCGAACCACGTAAATCTTCTGTGTCTTTTATTTGCTTTGTTATCCGTCTTTATATGGTCGGTTTTACCGCCTAATTATTATATGGCTGGTATCTACCGCCTATCTATTATATGGTCGGTTATACCGCCTACTTTGTGCTAACTTGAGTTTGTCTATTCCTGGCCCGGTCCTAACATATAAAGTACTTAGAAATCATGATTAGGAAGGTTGAGTTTCTTACAAAAACATGCTATAGATCAGGAAATCTCAAGGTTGAAGTGCTCTCAGGAAAGGGCGGCCTTTCTTGACACTGGTCACCATGAGAGTCGGAAATAGTGCTTTGATGAAATTTCCACTACCAGAGGTCGGTAGAAGGTTGAAGAACTGCACCCTGTCACATCCACATCCAGCCTACATAACTTCAAGAATATGGCTGAAATGTGGAAGTGGCATGCGATTTTTATCCACAGGTCACCAATCATGGGAGAAAACCCCCCAACCTGGCAGACGCAGACAGGTCTGATTGTTCCAGAAATGCATTACTTCAGGAAATGGGCATGCGGAAGTAGCAGAAATGTAAAGTTAGTAGTGCATGACTTTTAGGAACAGGAAGAGCTTTAGTCCATATTCTGAGGCTAGAGGCCCTTTCTTCTGCAGATAATCCCTTCGAAGTACAACAAAGTAGAGCAATTCTTTACAATATGAATTAGAAGAATAAATTATATCAGTAACTATGACTTTTTCATGATGTTAGCAGAATGCTAAGCCTTCAGGATATCATCTATTTATATACTCACATACAGTACTGGAAGAAAAATTGAATTTCAGGATATGCAGGTCTCGTTGAAAGAAAATTTTTTTAAAAAATAAAGCACTGGAAGAAGAAAAGAAAACAGTTACCAAGATTAATATCAGACTTCACAATCAGCATCAGCATAAAATCCAATTAAAAATGCTTAAACTTGGTAGCCACGGAGTAAATAATCTCTATGAAGATGACATAGTAATACTGACACAAAAAAAAAGAAAAAAAAAAGAAGTTTCTCTTCTTTTTTTTTTCGACAGTGGATAATAATCTACTCTACGCTTACTCCTACTCTAACCTATTCTAGGGGCGGACCTAACTGAGCCTTTGGGGGGCCGATGGGAATTGAACCACCATCAGATCAAATGGGTGCACTACACACCCATCTGGATTTTTAGAGAGCCACATACTGTGATAATTGGTGAGAGACAAGGTTTAAACCCTCGCCTCCCACCCCATAAAGCCTTAATGGCTTGATGGTGGCCATCCGTCCAAAGGCTGTGAAAAAAATGAAGTTTCTTATAGAAGCAGTTATGTGGCATATTTCGGGGTTTAGAAATAAAAAGAAAGATCATCAAGTAGATTAGGTCCTTGCTTAACTTTAGGAAGCTCCCAAGTACACCACTTAATTAGCAGTCATACAGCACCAAAACGGAAAGTTCGAGAAGCAGCAGCATAACAAGCTTGATTGAAGGTGATGATTATACCAGCACAAAACCATTGCACTTAAATCTAGAGGGAGTATCTATATTTACAGTATAATGATTGAATGTTCTATTCCTCCTTCCACGGTAATAATAGAGTTTAGTTGATCAGAGATGGAATAAAAAGTGCAGAAATCTTAAAGAACAAACGAGTCATATAATCAGAAACATCAGTAAAAGCATTGGGCATCATTCCCAGGAGAAAGGTTTGACCCAAGGCAACTTTTTACCTACCTTGTTATCAATAACAACATGTATTTCATAAGCACAAAAACCACTGTTGATTTGGAGACGTGTACTTGTGTATCCATAAAGCGAATGAAACCGCTACTAATTGCTGAATCACATGAAAAAGACAGGTAACTTTACCCTGGCCTCACCCAGATCATCACTAGTAAAGCAAATAAAAAACTGTCCCATGCTTCTAATCAAGAGATGTTTGAAAAAATGCATCAAAAGTTTAAATAAAACTACAGAAATCTGTAAATATGATTTCATACTTTGAAGGGTCATGATCACTCAGCTTGAGGATCTATTATATCATGTGTTGGAAATAGTTAGTGATGAATTCCATATTGAAAGTGCGTGAAGAATACAAGATGTTTATAGTCAAGTGCACACCTATTCAAATCAATTTGGATGGTGGGAAATTTTGGAAGAAAACTTCAAAATTGCACATACATTTATCACGTTGACTATTGAATTAAAATATAAATTTAATATTCAAAAGATTGGCACTTGGGCACTTAAGAACCAAAATTAATTTTAATTAAAATTAATTTCATTTTAATATTTCTTCTTAATTAAACGGTTTCCTTTTAGTGTTGTGTCTAATGATACAACTCATACAACAGTTAAGTATCCATTTATTTTAAAAAAGTGTCTATTCATGAAGAAATACGTTTCTAAAAGACATGACATTTCTTTTAGGGTATCTGAACATTATAAATAAGAGTGTCCAGATATCAAAAAACTCACTTTTACTTTTGGTTTTACTTTTTCTTCTACTTTAATTTGTTCAAAACAATATTCTCTAAACCGTTATTGGGAGAATTTCTGCATACTATTGTGTGGAAATTCTGGTTGGCTTTGTTATTCCTAGAGGGAATTGCCGCGAACCCGATAGTAGAATAGTGGGGGCAAATTTCCTAAGGAAAGTAAATCTTCATGCCAAAGCCATTTTCTGTAGTTGTAGTTATTACTATTTCCTAAAATCATGCACTTCAAAATTCTATTGCAAACATATCCACACATCTGACCTATCGAAGCAACAAGAACACTGGATGGCCCAGATAGGAACTGATAAAATCAATTAGACCACTTGATGAGTAAGCCATAACCAGACGATTCCAGCAGCAAGAAGAAACAACTAGAATGTAGTTCAGAGCTCTATGGTAACCAGCTGAAGGAGAGAGTCCATGTGAACTGGACAATGACTTGTAATCACCCTCCGATGATTCGAGAAAATGGCCTCTGATGAATGAAGTTGATGATTCGAGAAAATTAGGTCCATCTATATAACAAAGAAGAAAATAGTGTTCATGAGCAATAGGGTGTCGAGCAGGATATACAAGATAGATATTGAAGAACAATTGATTTTTTTTTTTTCAATCATAGAAAATAAAAACAAGGCAGTTATAGCATTCTTAGAACTCCATTATGCATATAGCTTTTAAAACTAACCAATTACATCTGGAAAGGCAGCTATTCAACAGCACTAAAGCACTAGAATATAAGCATCATGAACTTAGTTGATCATCAGGCTGCACATAATGTTTCATGTCATCTCATGTTGTCCACCAGCAAATGCTTATACAAGTAAGTCAAGCATCATATCATGGTGCTTATGTAGGCAACCAGCTAAGAGTAAACACATTTATACTACGATTCCACCTGTTTAAACACCAACCTGATGCTGATACAGGTAGTCAAGCATCATATCATGGCACTTATGTAGACAACCAGCTAAGAGTGAACTCATTCATCATACGATTCCACCCGTTTAAACACCAACCTGATAAGAGTTATTTTTCAGATCTTCAGTCTCCAGAATACGTGAGGTTTTTGATAAGTAATGGCTACTGCCCTTTCTGGTAATATCTGCCAATTATGAAAAAAAGATACATAAACCACTAAATTTTGCTAGTCCTATTAAATGTCATGCCTATCTTGTAATAAACAAGTAAAAATGGCTCTAGACCCCTCTCTTTCTTCTGTACTCTCAAAACACAAACACCACTTGATATCCAATGTCAGCACCTAAAAATGTGTAGTTACGCGGAACCATACTTGACACAAACTAAAATATGTGGGAGAAAAGGAGTTTATTATCAATCAATCACACATATAATAAGCACATCCGACTTTCATATAGAGATCGGCAAAAATTCTAAACATAATTGCCTTTACAACAACCACAACTCTCTTTAATTTTCCTCTCACTCTTCTCAACTGAAACAAATAACCAGACACCCCATATATAGCACACAGTACTTGGTAAATAGGAAACTACTAAGACAGAAAAGTACCAAATAATTATTCTATACCTTAGACAAGTAAACCACTAAAATTTGACTATTCTTTTAATTTAGAAATAGGAAACAACTAATATTAGGAAGTTTGGTTTAATTATGCCACTTCCAAACTCTAACATTGGTCAAAACATCCAAGAATAAATCTTCCTAGTAAAGAATCCAGAATTTTCTTAGGCTGGACCCCCCCCCCCCAACAACACACACACACACACAACAGAAACAAAAAAGACAAAATCCCTGCAGTATATAAATGCAATTGCAGAGTAACTCCTACCAAAACAGTAAAGGTGTTTGATCAGGTCTCCTGCAATCAGATAAGCATACACTGTCAACAGCAATGGTGCACACTTTTTCTGATACTTTAATTTGTGTTTCTACTTAGATTCTTCTCCATCAAATTGAGAGCCCTGTTTCATGATCTTTTCATGCCACAAATGCAGGAGGAAAGACACTATTCAGACAAATGGGAAGGCTATGTAGATTGGCGAAACAGACCAGCCCTGAGAGGCAAGCATGGTGGCATGGTTGCTGCATCCTTTGTCTTAGGTTAGTTTGAATATCTATGTTTCAAGGTATATATTTACCAGTAGTAAATATACTGCTATGATGATTGCTAGAGAGTTCAACACAAAAGTTGAAGATAGAATTTTTTGATAGGATAATCCCTCTGCACCTTTGTTCACTTTTAACAACCAGAGAAATGCCACAACAAATACTTACTTGATTTTCTCCGCTTGCAATTTTAGTTGTCGAGATACTGGAGAATCTCACATACCTGGCAAATGCAAGCAACCTGGTGCTTTACTTGTCAAAATTCATGCATTACTCTCCATCTAATTCAGCGAACATGGTAACTAACTTCATGGGCACTGCATTTCTCCTTGCTCTTCTTGGAGGCTTTTTATCTGATGCCTTCTTCACCACCTATTGCATCTATCTCATAAGCGCAACAATTGAGTTCCTGGTAAGAACTATCCTTAGATTCCAAATTTGTTTAGTCAACTGACTTACATGACACACAATGTAGTTGAATATCTATCAAATAATGAACTGCTCTTTAGCCAATAAATGGTCCAAAACAAGCATGTCAGACTTGCGTCTCATGGTCAATAACTTCAATAGTGATCAATCAATAGAACTATGGTTTAGCATTAATTTCACAGCTTGCAGAGGTGAGGTTTACCATTGAAGCACCTGTTATCAAATAGGCAAAATGCAAATAAGATTCATTGGTGGAGTATCTTTTGATCTTTAGAAGAATGAGTGATTTTGAAGAGAGTGGATCTAGCAAACTGAAAATGTCCATGTAAGCAACTTTAAGCCCCTCATAGTACAAAAGTTATACAGAACTCAAACAGAGGGAGTTCACTTAATGGAGACATAAACACTTCTCTGTAACAATAATAACTCATGAAGATATGTATGACTACTCAATTGCACGTACCATGCAGAAAAATGTATGAACTATGAATAAAACTCCTACTTGGGGCAATGGTTTTGACAGATTCAGCGGTAAATTGACAAATACAATAGTCATAATAGTTTTCAGTTTTGAAGCAAATAAAAGTTTTTTCTTTCTTTCAGTATCAACAAATAAAGATGCTTGAAACATATTTTGGGCCTGAGAGTTGGGGGTGGGAGGTAATAAAAAAAAAAGATGCTTGAAACATTGAGTTCAATTCTCAAATCACTGCATCGACGGACAACTACTATGGCCTAGAGGTATTCATTGCATAGCAGTTCTTTTATAAGGGTTAACATGAGTCCATTTTGACTAAAGGAATCTTTCTAAGGGAGACTTTTACCATAGGATAGATAGACACTATGAGTCATGGTTATGGCCTTGTATTCTTGCTTTGACTGATTGCAAACCTTGGAAACAGGGCCTGCTAATGCTCACAGTGCAAGCTCACATACCTTCACTGACACCATCCGCTTGCACACCAATTAACAGAAACACTTCATGCCAGCAAGTTGATGCTGGGAAAGCAGCAATATTGTTTGCAGGCCTCTATCTGGTTGCCTTGGGTGTTGGAGGAATTAAAGGTTCCCTTCCTCCACATGGAGCTGAGCAGTTTGATGAGGATACCACACGTGGAAGGAAGCAGAGGTCGACATTCTTCAATTACTACGTCTTCTGCCTGTCCTGTGGTGGACTAATTGCAGTAACATTTATGGTGTGGATTGAAGACAATAAAGGTTGGCACTGGGGCTTTGGTATCTCAACTGGTATAATACTTGTTACAATTCCAATCTTCCTACTTGGTTCTTCTACTTACAGGATCAAAATTCCAACTGGAAGCCCTATTACAACCATTTTCAAGGTATAGCTTTTCTCTAGAATTACAGTTTCTGTACTTTTTATTAGCCAATGTCTAACAAGGAAGATCCATACTAATATTTCACCAGGTTTTGGCTGGAGCTGTTTGTACGTGTTGCACTTCAACAACTTCCAGGAATGCAATCATGAGCACGAGCACAACCTCAACCTACACAACTGAAACCGGCCTGGAAGAGAAAAATGGCAAAAATGGAGCAGAGACTCACACAACATCAGAAGACCTGAGGTTCCTAAATAGAGCGGCAATTGGAAGGCCTTTCCATCAACTGCTACAATGCACCATCAAAGAAGTAGAAGAAGTGAGGATTGTCTTTAAGATTTTGCCGATTTTTGCATCCACCATGATGCTGAACTGCTGTCTTGCTCAGCTGTCTACCTTTTCAGTCCAACAAGCAGCAACCATGGACACTAGGATTGGCTCGTTCACAGTTCCACCGGCTTCCCTTCCAGTTTTCCCAGTAATTTTCATCATGATACTTGCACCAATCTACAATCACATCATTATCCCACTTGCTAGGAAGGCTACCGGGACAGAAATGGGAATCACACATTTACAGCGAATTGGAACTGGCTTAGTTTTCTCAATTGTGGCCATGGCTGTTGCAGCATTAGTGGAAATGAAGCGAAAGAAGGTGGCAATGCAATCCGGCATGATAAATTCAACAGAACCTCTTCCAATCACATTCCTTTGGGTGGCATTGCAATATATGTTTTTAGGATCAGCTGATCTTTTCAGCTTGGCTGGCATGATGGATTTCTTTTTCACAGAGGCCCCATTTAGCATGAAGTCATTAGCAACAGCTCTCTCCTGGACCTCACTGGCCATAGGTTATTATTTCAGCTCGGTACTTGTATCAATTGTCAACAAAGTTACAAGCACCTTTAGGCACACGCCATGGCTTTATGGAAGTAACTTGAACCATTATCACCTTGAACGATTTTACTGGTTGATGTGCATATTAAGTGGGTTAAATTTTCTGCATTATCTCTTTTGGGCCAGCCGTTACAAGTATCAGTCAACTTGGCCTGGAGATCAAGAGGAGATTCAAATAAGAGTTAACTCATCTGAACTGCAATTATCCCACTCATGAAAGCTATTCAGGACGAACCTTCTCCACTGCCTCTCTATGTGAATGTGTGTGTACGAGAGAGAGAGAGAGAGTACTAGCTGAATGTATAATTTATCATTGCGATTTGAGTTATCAGTTCAGTAATACTGTATCATTCATCCCATTCTGGTAAGAATAATCTTAGTGAATTTGCATATCATTTTCAATCGGAGCCTCAGAAAATGCATTTGAATCATTCAATTTCATTCGAAAACTATAACTCCATTTCATGTGCACAAAAAATTTATCAAGGGACAATTAATCTGACGCATCAGTCTAAATTGAGTTAGCTGATGTACAGATCCAAAAATCATGAAACTATAACTTGTCCAAAATGAACAAAGCGAATGACGGCACTGATAATATTTTTGTATGTTATTAAGCCAACTCTTTTCTTCTTCCCCTTCCCAATATCAGCACTTCAATTCCAATATTCAGAAAGAAAGCAACAGGGGCCAGCAACAATGACAGACCGAACCTACTTGGTTACATTGCCAGAAACTGACAAGATGATCAATACCAAGCCAAGATTCCAGACCAACATCTCAGCAATGTTGTAGAAACCAAAATCAAGATTCACATCTAACAATTCTCACAACACTAAAAAAAAGGAACAATAAGGGCTGGCCATAACTTAAACAGCATTGTACAACTAACGGCTACAAACACAATCAAAGCATATACCTGCATAATGAAATCCAACATAATCTGTTGCATTTGAAACTTCCCAATAGGATAAGCCCTTTAACTAATGTACTCATAATTAGGATGAGTTTCATTAAGCACCACTTGTTCCTTGACTCAGTATTACCACAACCAATGGTATTTTAAAATGTTATATCTTATATGAAGCCAGCTTCTCGTTTGTCCAGATCAATGTCTTTACCTCAACTAGAACACACACACACATATATATATACACACACTCATTTTTGGAACTGTTTTGTAGTGTCAAGACCAATGTCATATTGAACAGCAAATTGGAATCCATTTTGTTTGCCATTTTTGCTTCGTTATTCTCATGTTGCTCGATAAACCCACTCCAGTTTTGGATTTTTTTTTTCTTTTTGGAAGCAACAAATGTCTAAACTTATAAAGTGCAATTCATCATCATCATCATCATCTTATGATGTCGGCAGAAAGCACTGACATGAACAAGGATTCAGTAGAAGGGTTGGTACCTTAATTTACAAGGGAGAGATAAAACTGCCATGAATTGGTGGTGGTGAGGTTTAGGTGAAAAGTATCGGAGCAGAGAATTTGTAACGGCCTAACGGGTAAAACCCAACTAGAAGAAAATATGAAATATTTGTTTTCCAAAGAAATTATTCGGGGATGTAGCTCAGATGGTAGAGCGCTCGCTTAGCATGCGAGAGGTACGGGGATCGATACCCCGCATCTCCACTGTTTTTTTTTGAATTTTTAATTTCTCAAACTACTTTCCTTTTAAAGCCATAAATCTTTTTGAGAAAACACTTCATATAAATAAGGTACCTACTAGCTACACAATTGATAATTTGCTTATTTTCATCTCCACTGTTTTTTTTTTAATTTTTAATTTCTCAAACTACTTTCCTTTTAAAGCCATAAATCTTTTTGAGAAAACACTTCATATAAATAAGGTACCTACTAGCTACACAATTGATAATTTGCTTATTTTCTACTAAGATATATTCAAAAGTTGCTCATTTTGGTCTCTCAAACTATCCTTCTAAAGCCATAAATCTTTTTGAGAAAGCACTTTATTTAAATAAGGTGGCTACTAACTATACAATTGACAATTTGCTTATTTTTCTTCTATACCCCGCATCTCCATTGCTTTTTTTTTTTAAAAAAATTTACATTTAAATTTCTCAAACTACTTTCCTTTTATGGATAATTTCAAAAACCTCTCCTGAGATTTCTAACAATTTCACTGAACTCCCCTGAAATTTAAAAAATTACACATACCTCCCTTGTTATTTAAAATGGCAATTTTACCCTTAAATATTTTAATGAAATTCTCTTATTTGGTATGTTTATACTTAGAATGAGTTTTAAAATTATTTTTTCATTCTTTTTCCTTCTTATTCCTTTTTAAAAATTTTTCTCCAATAAAACTGTAAAACTATCAATAATACCTCTAGATTTCTATTATAACCAAATGTCGAACTAGTGATTTTTTTGACGAGTTAATTTTATATGTAATCCAATATTTTTGCTGATCTTTGTTTTCTATTTTTTGGTTTTAAAATTAAAAATAAAAAAAAAGAAATGGCCTAAAAACACTACTAAATTATGATATCCATCACTCGGGGATGTAGCTCAGATGGTAGAGCGCTCGCTTAGCATGCGAGAGGTACGGGGATCGATACCCCGCATCTCCATTGTTTTTTTTTTTAAATTTTAATTTCTCAAACTACTTTCCTTTTAAAGCCATAAATCTTTTTGAGAAAACACTTCATATGAATAAGGTACCTACTAGCTACACAATTGATAATTTGCTTATTTTCTACTAAGGTATATTCAAAAGTTGTTGATTTTGGTCTCTCAAACTACTCTCCTTCTAAAGCCATAAATCTTTTTGAGAAAGCACTTTATTTAAATAAGGTGGCTACTAACTACACAATTGACAATTTGCTTATTTTTCTTCTATACCCCGCATCTCCATTGCTTTTTTTTTAAAAAACAATTTTTACATTTAAAATTCTCAAACTACTTTCCTTTTAGGGATAATTTCAAAAACCTCTCCTGAGATTTCTAACAATTTCACTGAGCTCCCCTGAGATTTAAAAAATTACACATACCTCCCTTGTCATTTAAAATGACAATTTTACCCTTAAGTATTTTAATGAAATTCTCTTATTTGGTATGTTTATCCTTAGAATGAGTTTTAAAATTATTTTTTCATTCTTTTTCCTTCTTATTCCTTTTTAAAAATTTTTCTCCAATAAAACTGTAAAACTATCAATAATACCTCTAGATTTCTATTATAACCAAATGTCGAACTAGTGATTTTTTTGACGCGTTAATTTTATATGTAATCCAATATTTTTGCTGATCTTTGTTTTCTATTTTTTGGTATTAAAATTAAAAATAAAAAAAAAGAAATGGCCTAAAAACACTACTAAATTATGATATCCATCACTCGGGGATGTAGCTCAGATGGTAGAGCGCTCACTTAGCATGCGAGAGGTACGGGGATCGATACCCCGCATCTCCATTGTTTTTTTTTTAATTTTTAATTTCTCAAACTACTTTCCTTTTAAAGCCATAAATCTTTTTGAGAAAACACTTCATATAAATAAGGTACCTACTAGCTACACAATTGATAATTTGCTTATTTTCTACTAAGGTATATTCAAAAGTTGTTGATTTTGGTCTCTCAAACTACTCTCCTTCTAAAGCCATAAATCTTTTTGAGAAAGCACTTTATTTAAATAAGGCGGCTACTAACTACACAATTGACAATTTGCTTATTTTTCTTCTATACCCCGCATCTCCATTGCTTTTTTTTTTTTTTAATTTTAAAATTTAAATTTCTCAAACTACTTTCCTTTTAGGAATAATTTCGAAAACCTCCCCTGAGATTTCTAACAATTTCACTGAGCTCCCCTGAAATTTGAAAAATTACACATACCTTCCTTGTCATTTAAAATGACAATTTTACCCTCAAATATTTTAATGAAATTCTCTTATTTGGTATGCTTATACTTAGAATGAGTTTTAAAATTATTTTTTCATTCTTTTTCCTTCTTATTCCTTTTTTAAAATTTTTCACCAATAAAAGTGTAAAACTACCACTAATATCTCTAGATTTCTATTATAACCAAATGTCGAACTAGTGATATTTTGACGAATTAATTTCATATGTAATCCAATTTTTTTGCTGATCTTTGTTTTCTATTTTTTGGTATTAAAATTAACAATAAATAAAAAAGAAATGGCCTAAAAACACTACTAAATTATGATATCCATCACTTGGGGATGTAGCTCAGATGGTAGAGCGCTCGCTTAGCATGCGAGAGGTACGGGGATCGATACCCCGCATCTCCATTGCTTTTTGTTTTAATTTTTAATTTTAAAATTTAAATTTCTCAAGCTACTTTCCTTTTAAAGCCGTAAATCTTTTTGAGAAAACACTTCATATAATAAGGTAGCTACTAGCTACACAATTGGTAATTTGCTTATTTTCTACTAAGATATATTCAAAAGTTGTTGATTTTGGTCTCTCAAACTACTCTCCTTCTAAAGCCATAAATCTTTCTGAGAAAGCACTTTATATAAATAAGGTAGCTACTAGCTACACAATTGACAATTTGCTTATTTTCTGGTCAGACATATTCCAAAGTTTTTTTAATTTTTTTTGGCTCTTCCTTTGCTTTTTTAACATATGTGCCACATACATATCTAACTGGTGTATATACTATTATTGTATACAACATTAACCTATATTGAGTAGTCAAAAGAGAACTCTTAGAGTCTTCCGCACTGCTAGATTGAGTCTTCCCCAATGCTAAATTCAATATTCGAATTCTGTGCCTTACAATCTTGGGTAAAAAAGGTGTGGGGAGGGATGGGAGGGTAAAAAAAAAAAGATTAAGGTTGTAATTTAAATTACAAAAAAAATTCATGAGAACATGTACACTTGTCCAAATTATTTTGAAGGTCAAAAATAAATCTTACAAAAGTTTTGAGTATCAAATTCAAGTCTACAAAAATTAAAGGAAACTTAAAAAGGTCAAAAAAATCCCATTATAGATTAAAAAAAATAAGGAAGCCCAATTTTTTCCGATTTTCTACCGGTTCTGACTAGGTTTGATTAATTGGTCAATAGCCACCCATATAATCATACCTTAACTAAATCCCTATTTGTTAAATTCAATAAATTGAAGATTTGGTGGAACTCGACACTGCTTCCTAGGAAGAGAAGGAAGTGCAACGGACTCTTCTGCTAAGAGGTAGCCCTCCTTTAAAATCTAACTTGAGGGATTATCGAAGGAGTCATCTAATTAATTGGTTTCAGAACATGAATAAAGATTGCAAAATGGCTTGATATTCATATTCTAGATGCTGAGTTGAGAAAAATGGAAGCGCAGATGGCAAATTGGGTTGATTTTTATAATTTAGATGCAGATTTGAGAAAAATGGTAAATTATAGATGTCAAGCTGAGAAAAAAATAAC